ATCAACTGCAAGATGCTATCCTATCAATATGGGCCAACATTTCTAAAGAATGCTTTCAGCACCTTGTTGAATCAATGCCACGTACTGTAGAATTAAGGCAGTTCTGAAGGCGAAAGGGGGTCAAACACCGTATTAGTATGGTGATCCTAATAATCCTTTAGGTGAGTGTACATGCTCCAGTAAAACATTAAATGGTCACAAAGTCATTATTTATAATGTTAATATAGAGACCCACACATTACATTACATTATATTTACATTTATATAAGCACAGCACAAGGCATCCTGGTAACTGTAATAACTTGATATTACAAATAGGTGGTATTATGCCACAGTACTAGCTGTTATAATGTTCATTGGGTATGCTGGAGAGTGGAGCAGGCTTACTGTATGTAAACTAGGCCAGCATACCCTCCCGTAAGGTGAAGTGAGGAACAGCCAAGCCCACTGAACCATAAACACAGGTATGAGATTCGCTGCTGAAAGTGGTAACATTGGCGCAAAGCTTCAGCGGCAGAGACGTATCCGTGTGCTATATTGTAGCCGATCAGTGTAAACACTACCCAGACATGTGCTCTTGTTTATTTCGGTCACAATAGGCATATTCACATATTTCTTTACCCAATACTAACTGTCGGATTATCATGTTATTGTCATGCGAATAGCGCGATTTGCAAGTGGGAAGGCGATCAGAGCTGCTTCGAGACGCAGACGCTTAAGTCAGTTACTCTTGTTCTTTCTATTCGTATCATGAAGCTGTAAAAATATATTTAGTTTCTACCTATATATATTTGAAAAGTAGATCATCCAAGGTTTCTGAGGGTGTTTTTTAAATGTGTATATGACAAAAACTCGCAGAGTTATTTAAACGGTTTGGCGCATGCTCTTTGTAGTCTAGGTAATGTTATTTGTCCAGGTGAGGTCACTTAATATGTGCACAGCCCGAACAAGGCACGTGGGTCCCCCCTCCAATGGGCTCACCACCTGTAGGAGAGGCCAAAGGGGACAGGTGCAGTGCGAATTGGGCAGTGGCCAAAGGCAGGGACCTTGGCGGTCTGATCCTCGGCTGCAGAAGCTAGCTCTGGGACATGCAATGTCACCTCTCTGGGGGGGAATGAGCCTGACCTGGTGCGCGAGGTTGTGTGGTTCCGACTAGATATAGTCGGGCTCACCTCGGCGCACAGCTTGGGCTCTGGAACTAGTCTCCTTGAGGGGGGTTGGACCCTCTTCCACTCTGGAGTTGCTCGCAGGGAGACGTGCCGAGCAGACGGGTGGGCATACTTATTGCCCCCTGGCTGGGCGCCTGTACATTGGGGTTTACCGCGGTGGACAAGAGGGTAGCCTCCCTTCACGTTCGAGTGGGGGGACGGGTCCTGACTGTTGTTTGTGATTATGCGCCAAACGGCAGTTCAGAATACCCACCCTTTTTGGAGTCCTTGGAAGAGGTGTTGGAGAGCACTCCTTCAATGCTCATGTGGGCATGACAGTGAGACCTGGAGTGGCATGATTGGGAGGAACAGCTTCCCCGATCTGAACCCGAGCAGTGTTTTGTTATTGGACTTCAGTGCTTGTCACGGAATGTCCACAACGAACACCATGTTCAAATATAAGGGTGTCCATATGTGCACTTGGCACCAGGACACCCTAGGCCGCAGTTTGATGATCGACTTTGTGGTCGTGTCATTGGATTTGTGGCCACATGTATTGGAGAGGGGCGGAGCTGTCAACTGATCACCACCTGGTGGTGGGTTGGCTCCGCTGGTGGGGGAGGAAGCCGGTCAGGCCCAAGCATATAGTGAAGGTCTGCTGGGAATGTCTGGCAGAATCCCCTGTCAGAAGGAGCTTCAACTCCTACCTCCGGCAGAACTTCTCCCATGTCCCGGGGGAGGTGGGAGACATTGAGTCTAACTGGGCCATGTTCCGTGCCTCCATTGTGGAGGCAGCTGACCGGAGCTGTGGCCGTAAGGTAGACAGTGCCTGTCGCGGCGGCAATCCCCAAACCCACTGGTGGACACTGGTGGTGAGGAATGCCGTCAAGCTGAACAAGAAGTCCTATTGGGCCTTTTTAGCCTGTGGGACTCCAGATAGGTACCGGCGGGCCAAGCGGAATGCGGCTTCGGCGGTCGCTGAGGCAAAAACTCGGGTGTGGGAGGAGTTTGGTGAGGCCAAGGAGAACTACTTCCGGATGGCTTCAAGGAGATTTTGGTCCACCATCCGGTGGCTCAGGGCGGGAAAGTGGTGCAACATCAACACTGTTTATGGGGCGCTGCTGACTTCAACTCCAGACGTTTTGGGTTGGTGGAGGGAATACTTCGAAGACCTCCTTAATCCCACCAACACACCTTCCAATGAGGAAGTCTGGGGACTTGGGGGTGGTTTCCCCTATTTCTGGGGCGGAGGTCGCTGAGGTGGTTAAAAAGCTCCTCAGTGGCCGGGTCCCGGGGGTGGATTAGATCCATCTGAAGTTCCTTAAGGCTCTGGATGCTGCAGGGCTGTCCTGGTTGACACGCATCTGCAGCATCGCATGGACATCAGGGGCAGTGCACCTGGACTGGCAGACCAGAGTGGTGGTCCCCCTATTTAAATAGGGGGACTGGAGGGTGTGCTCCAACTATAGGGGGATCACACTCATCAGCCTCCCTGGTAAGGTCTATTCAGGGGTCCTGGAGAGGAGGGTCCATCGGATTGTCGAACCTCGGATTCAGGAGGAGCAATGTGGTTTTCGCCTTGGCCGTGGAACAGTGGACCAGCTCTATACTCTCAGCAGGGTCTTGAAGGGTGCATGGGAGTTTGCCCAACCAGTCTACATGTGCTTTGTGGACATGGGGAAGGCATTCGACCGTGTTCTTTGGGGAGTCCTCTAGGGAGTGCTCCGGGTGTATGGGGTGCCGGGCTTGCATGGGGTGGTGCATGCATCTTTTTGGTCCGACGGGCAAACGGCCGGGATGGTCATGGTTCACTTTTAATTGCCATTGGCAGTACCAACAGGTGCCCACAGTAGGGGGATGAGGAGCTGGGTTGTGGCATAGTTGTTTGTTATATTTTTGTGCATTTTGTGATTTGCAACAAATCAAAAAGCACTGGAAAATCACGACCTAATATTACCGCAAAGGGGAGATTTTCAGAAATTCCTACCTTTAAAACATAGGTCTGCCCTTGTACCTTAACATATACATCAGATGTGGGAAGGTACCTTTCATCCCCATGTACACAGCGAACAGGGACCCTCTCTGTAATGCCCCCCACATAAGGTGCATATTGTTGATGAACAAGAGTCTGATCACTCCCTGAGTCGATAAGGGCTTGTAACTTCTTCCCATTTATTTCCACAGCTATCATCCTCATAACCTGTTCAGCTCTTGGCTTTAGCTGTACCTCCTGCCTAGGAACAAAGCACATCTGAGTAATCTTAACAGTGTTCTTGGGACAGACGGGTTTGGTATGGCCTTCCTGGCCACAGAGGTAGCAAATAGGTGGCTTACCTAGGCCCCTTGAAACACTAGCTGGAGGAATTTCCTTTACAGAAGGCCTACCTACACCAAAATTCAGCCTCTGCTGATGTGAGGGGATTGCCTTACGAGTATCCCTTCCCA